CCGCGGGGTGTCACTGCTGGCCCAGCACGCGCCCCGCCGGCCCAGCCCCGGCGAGACGATACCCTTCGTGTGGAACCGTGTGAAAATCCAAACGTGTGATGCTGAACGGCGGGGAGGCAAAAAGTGCAAAGGGACGGTTTAAGTCAAATAATACAGCGTGGCTAAAATTTTGGGTTGTGTTGACAACATGTAATCCTGGAGCAGAAGATTTCGGGCAGGTGTTTATTTGCCTTGGGCTCTGAAGTGGTGCCTTGTTTGTACTATGCGGCAGCTAAGTGCTTCCTGAGCTCTGCCTGTGCTGTCCGCTGGAATTACTGTTAGCTTTTCTTTTAGTCGGAGAAGCTGGGATTCGAAAAGCAGAGCACTGCTGTAGCAAGGCTGAAGGTCGTGCCTGTGCACTATGCGCCTAGGACAAATCTGCACGTTTAGATGTGAGTTTTCAAACCTTCCAGGTAGATGAGGGTACAAAACTTTTCTTTTTCGTTTTACGGAGACTCTTAGTCTGGGGGAAGCCACGCTACGGACCCACCTTAAGACCTCAGGATGTGCTTCTGTTCAGGAGAGCACCTAAGCACAGGTGTGAGTCCTCCTGAAGTCACGAGCATGTGTCTGATCTTCATTGCTTCCCTGCGCTACAGGGGCCTCTCAGGATGGATATCAAAAAATTCTAGGTGTAAATTTGTATATTTGAGGCCTCTAAACACGTATGAAGCTGTCCAAAATCCCTACCAATTTCTTCAAAATAATCAAATAGACTGGCGTTGAAAGAAGATCGCCCGACCGATCTTTTTTCAACTGCCGTCTCATTTCAACGCTGGGGCCGGTTCAGGACACGCCAGCGCTGTTGGCAAGCGGCAGACCGCAAGCGTGGTGGAAAGCAGCAGCGCTGTCGTTCTCTGTTATTACTTCCATCCTTGCAACTTGAGTTTTTGCTTTTTGGAGCGGGCTCCGCTGCGTAACAGCGGGCTCTTGCCTCGCGGGGTGTCAGGGGGCCGGAGGCAGCGGGTGCCGCTCGGTGCTGGGGAGTGCAAATCTGGTGCTGCTCAGCGCAAATCTGAGCGGCTGGGAGCAACCTGCCAAGCGGGAAACGGCTCATTAAATAGCTACGGTCGCTGATTTGTAAGAGCGCGCGCAGACCATGTAATTACTGTGATTAAGTCAGAGCCACGCTGCAGAGTTGCCACTTGTGTCGGGGATTTTATCTGCTCTGTATGGCAGACGGATCAAAAAAAAAACCCATCTAGCGCTGCCAATAGATGCGGGCCACAAGTAAACG